AGTAGCAGTAGCAGTAGCAGTAGCAGTAGCAGTAGCAGTAGCAGTAGCAGTAGGAGTAGTAGCAGCTACTAAGCTTAAGTAGTTTCTTAGGCTTGGACGCAGAAGGGCTCAGGCTTGACAATTTGGTTCTACGATATTTTGGACAAAATGCCTCCAACAACAACCGCTCAACTGCGACCCGCCAGTCTTTCCAACCTCGGAAGATCAGGATCTGTGCTTTTGAGATGGAAGAGCACCTGTACATGTCAAACTGCGTGTCCTGCACGGGCAAAAGAAACTTCCAAGAGAATTGACAAGCCACGATCTTCTTTGAAGCTTCTCAGCTGACAAAATCAACTCTCAAAAGAATTATTGTCTGTGCTGTAGTAACTTGAGGTTGCTGGTGTTCGGAAACACGTCGCAGCAAAAACGGGACTTGACGATACTTGATGAATGAAGTGCTCAGCCCAATCCAGGCACGCGTCACTTGTGTTCAACGTGGCCGCAGCAATGCAGAAACATCCTTGTCCACGGTCCATTGTGTTTCTGTGTGCAGCTTTCCTGGCCATTTGCTCTTGTCGCGCCTGTCCCCCATTTGCCCAGGTGAACGCTCGAGGCGAATTCATCGTCGCCGTGGATTGGACCGCTTTTGCGACGTAAAGAGTGGTTCCGTTCGATCCCTCGCCTGCTCTTTGGCCCTGGTCGCTGGTGCTGCCCACCACCTGGAAAGAACCAGGCCAACCCATTCGTCGAAGAACAACCGGGTCGTTTTGGCCCAACTTTGAGAGCGTCCGTCGCTTTGCTTCTGCGAGGGCCCACAGCGCATCTCTCCCACAGAGGTTTTCGACAGAAAGAATTCTGAGACAAGGCTGAAAGAAAATACTCGGACTGGCAGCCTTTGTTTGTTCCCAATGAAAGCATTGTAAATTGCAATTCTTTCTGGCAAATCTGTTTGCAGGTCACTTGCCATGGGCGGACCTCAAAGCCACCATGGAAGGACACCTTCCCAAAAAAATTGTAAATTTCCATCTTGCAACCATTGGACAAATCAACCTGTCTTTCTTTGGTTTGCGTGGCGAAAGTCACAAGTCACGCATTTGGGAAAGTAGCCTCAGCCCGGCCTGTTTCCTCGCATCGACGGAGGCTGGAAGCCAGACGAAATGAGCATATGTACACGGCCAACAAAGAGATGTCCAGATTGGATCAAATCCTCTGCTTTAAAATAACAAAGAATTGCCCGTGACGTCATTTCAGAAACCATCTGGACACCATGACAAGAATCAGAGTGTTTCTAGTCGTGTCAGGCATGTCTGTCTTCCTCCTCGCTTTCACCTCAACAAAGCCAAGAGTCCGACAAAAAATAGACGAAAAGGCTTCAAAACTCGGGATGGATGGATGAGTCTCGGACAGTCTGGTTCGAATCCTGGAGCAATACAGTCAATGGGTGCGAGGACAAGCTAGAAACATGCATGCCCTGTGAATTCTGTCTAGTCTACAGCACCTGCCCCAATCCTCCATAAATCTTTCAGCCAATGGCACTTCTCCTGGATACTCGAAGCTTCGGCGCGGGCACCAGCCCCGGCCACGAAAGTGCTCTTTGCCCTTCGGATAGGCCTCACATTCAGCAAGGAGCAAGGGCTGGCCATTTCTAACAGGACGGAGTGCTTTCTCCCATCAACCAGGTTCTACAATAGATCATCTTTGGACTCCACCAAGCTTGTGCACATCTCTCACATGTTTAATTGGCTTGCACCTTGAAGTTGCCGAAGTCCCGATCATGAGTGTAGCTGACACAAACTGGATCCGGAGGCCCTGCGCCACACAGCGATGTCAAAAGCTATCTGTTGGTAGATAGATGAATCAACTAATGCACCAAGAAACTTCGAGTTGTTGTAGAAAGTTGTAATTGTAAATTATATGCAGTGTATATAATATACACTAGTATACAGTGTATATACAGTATATTTGTTAGTGTCCGATCAACGTCAACTTTGCGTCATTTTCAGGAATGCATTCTTAGGATTGAATCACAGTTGAAGAATGATTGCTCAGGGGGACCTGTCTCCGCGTCGTAGGGAGGACTCTCAGACTCTTCACCTGTTCAGCATCAGTGGCTTGGGTTTCACATGGTTTCACTCTCTAAAGGTAGAGACACGGGCCCCGCATGGCGAAGACTTTCCGAATCTGAGCACTGCAGTCCAAGGCACTAGATCTGTACCTTGCTGTCAGTGGAGGAACATGTGCTAATTCAAGTCTTTCGAAATCTATTCTCCAATGCTGGCAAGCTTCGTGCTGGAGTGGTTCCACAAGATTAGATTCAAGCGCTCCCCTGACCTGTGGTGCTTTGTTCTTTCTGGGTCAAATGACGTGTTTTCTGGGCGTCGCTAGTAATAGGTTCTTGCTACTAGTAACTAGTAGCAATGCCCTTGGTACTAGTAGCGATGAGTTACTAGTAGCTTCTTGTTCCGCAAATCCGACTCTTTCACCTTCTCATTATGGAAAATGGTGGGTGAAGGATTTCTGTACAATGTCCGTCGGTGACACAGCTTGGGCTCGAGCAAGACACCTCCAAAATACAAGATCCATTTCTTAAAGGCTGTATAAAAGGGCGACAGAACCTCCGATTTTGTGGTCCTTCATTGTGGCAAGGAGCGTGATGTCATCTGCTCCGTGTCGACGGCGACCAAGATGCATCACACAATGGCCCTCACATGAAGCGGCAATGAAGGAACGCGTCTCGTCGACAACTTCTGCTTACAAGCAAGCAAGCAAGCAAGCAAGAAAGAAAGAAAGAAAGAAAGTTAACGTCAAAGTCGAAGTCAAAGTCAAACACAATCACGATGCAATGGCGATGCCACAAGTTGCAAACTAGTTCACCTAGCTTAAGCTAAACTTACATAAACTTACGGACAACCCCCAACCAATCAAATCGATTGAGGCCTTGCGATGGAAGTAAGAGTGTCGGTGCTTTCGATGGTCAGGTGCACCAGACATCCCACAGAACTGCAAGCCAGCTCCAGTGAAGTCCAAGCCAAGGCAAAGATTGAACGTCACGTCCTTGCACGGTCGAGAACCAAGCTTGTGGGGAGACTTGCTGGTTTTGAGGCTTGTGTCAAAACGAACAGCGAAAGGATTTTTTGAGTCTGCTGTTTGCTCGTGCCGATTGTTGCCTTTCTTTCTGCACATAAAATGCCCTCTTGCATTTATCCAACCCACCCGTCCGAGTCGTCTGTGTGCATATCTAGCCCCAGATCTTCACCCGAGCGATAGCGGACCTGAGCTCGCATGTGCCAGAGACAGCAGGAAATGAATGTTCTAATCAGTTCAGGAAGTGGTGTGTTAAAAGCTTGCTCACAGCAGTGTTGAAATCTGGCTTTTAATCTTTCAGCCTGTAAAACAATCGATTCCTATTGAATGCCTACGGATTCTCTAAGTTCAATCACCATTCCTACGTGGGTATCGGGTGTCTCAAAACATCAGTTTCAAGAAGGAAAACATACACCTGTGGATGCCAAGACAGGTTTGAAAGGGGCGAAAGGGCCGAATGCGAGTCAATAACTACTCTTTGAATCCAGACGGGTGCCTGAGGCTGGTCCATCGTGCAAACAAGGTGCAATGAAGCAATGGTGACCGTCCTGAGCATGGAACTACTGGTAGCGATGCACTTGTTACTAGTAGCGATGCCCTTTGTTCCTAGTAGCGTCCTTGTTACTAGTAATAAGGCCAGGAGCTACTAGTAGCTTATTGCTCCTAGTAGCGATGCCCATTAATTCAAAACAGATTGAGACTGAGTCTCAAGCAACATGAAACAATCGCTTCTGCAACCAAAGGACCCAGCAGTTTCCAGGACCTGGGAAGAGCAACTCACCGAGCGGCTGCAGGACACGCCTCGGGTTCAGCGCAGCGGAGTCATTTGAGTCACTTCAGATTAAACCAATGAAGTCAGCGTCCGTGCACAAACATGGGTGAGGCAAGCGCGTTGTACAACTTGATCATGCCATACTTGTTGGAAAATGAATCTGCACTCTTAGCCTGCTGCTGCAGCTCATCGATCAGCGGCTCCATGCCAATGTCATTGAGAATGATTCCATATGCATTCATACCTTGGAAACTGAACCTGGCGTTCTCTCGATCCTCACCAAATAACGGAATCTTAGCAATGAGAATAACTGTGCAATCCCAAGCTCTGGGAATTCAGTGTCACAGAGCATCTGTTAGTGTGTATTCAAAAAGCTCAAATCACCACCCAGGTGTCTCCAATAAATCTCATCCGAGTGGCTGTTGGGACGTTTTGCTGGAAGACCACCTCTGCTAGGCAGTAAAGCGCATGGCGGATGACGCATGAAGAATAAACATTTGCATCTGTAGCACATGGGCCAGAAAGGCCCTGGCCGTCCAGTGCTTCTATTTAGAGAGCAACCATCCATTACAGCTTAGTGCCTAGGTCAGTATCCACAACAAAAAGTGTAAATATGCAGGCTGGTGACTCTTGTAGAAGTTGAAGACCTCTTCCAAGAATGTGTCACAAAAAGCCTTTCGATGGCAGCAAGATTGGCGAGACCGAACCCACAAACAAGAGAGTTTGCGAACAGGAACGAAAACCAGCCAACCTCTGTGACCAACTTGAACGAATACCTCAGTCACAAGTCATAGCGATTAATACAGTAGTCACCAATCCCATTTATATATGTATTGACCTTCTTCTAAGCTAGGCTGTCAGTCTTTGAACAACTTGTTCGGGTCAGATCTTCTCGTTGGTTCAGCAGTTTGTTGGGCCAAGTGTCACCCCAGGGATCTCTTCAGTGAGGATCTTCCGCCATGCACTGGGGGTGTTCTCCTTCATCGCCTGCACCATCTTCATATGCGGAAAAGCTTCGCACGATTTGGCTAGCCTGTTTCACTGTGTTTCACTAATATATATATATATATATCATGTATATATATATATATATATCATATATATATATAATTAAATGACTAGCTGTGTCCATTGTCCATGGTGTAAAAGTCCACATGGCCTTGCCAAAGGCTGGGTCCAGCCATTCGTCCTTCACTTTGGAAGTGAAAAGCTCCGGGTGCAGCACTTTGGACTTGTACCTTGCCAACCACAGCCATCACTCACACAGCTACCTCCTTTTTTTTGCGACCGGGGGGAGTGAAAGTGTACCTAGTGTCTTAATCTTTTCCTGTGTGAAGCATATGCATATGACCACCAAGGGCGTGCAACAACAAGCTTACGCCGCTGTAAACGTTCCCTGACTCTCAGACTATTTGTGTTTCCTAAAACATGAGCTTTGGAAGTAGCATGGCGAAAGCACGCGTCCAAACATACCATACACAAGGACCCTGCAAGAACCACACAAAGCAGGCTATAGAAGTGTTCCAAGCAAAAGTAGTGCGTTTCAGATATGCACTTGAACATCAAAACCCTAGGCCCTAGTTCAAACGCACATAGTCCTGAGTCAAGTGTATGGAGGTCTCTTTTGCAGCAGCTGACCCTGAAACAACATTGTCGTATGGTACATCACAAGCTGCCTTCAGGGACGCACTTGGCGTGCAGCAAGTTGAGATTCTTCAAATTGTGCGCCGGGCAAGAGATGATCCAGAAATCCGCACGCAAACACTGCAGGGAACACTTGTACATAATCAAGTTGGGACGGAGAACGCGGAAGCGATCTTTATGACACCAATCAGGGGCACCGACGACCTTATCATCCGAAGTCGCACCTGCATCAACATCTTAAGCATAGCAGGGCAAAGTAGCACATAAATAAGTCTATATAAATATAGACTATAGACATATGAAGACGAACTTGACATCTATGAGGCATGGAAACCAAGGACCCACGTTGCCAAGGAGGCCACAGTCGTCATAGCAAGCACTGTCTTTCCAACCTACGGGCCCATAAGTATGAGGCCGTCAAGCACAACATGCAAGCAAAGGTTGTGCCTGACATTCGGAGTTACACCGACATAGACTCCAAAAAATAAAGAAACACAAACGGCAAGAAAACTCAGGAGGAACACTTCTGCGCTCGCTCGGTCTCTTGCAACCACCAACCAAACCCCGAAGCAAAATAGGTAGGCCGTTATAACCACGAGATATAGAGTGATAAGATCAAGAAATGTTACCATCAGGGCCTCGTTCCAAAGTTCCAGCGGAAAAGTTGCGAGCAGGGCATGGTTCCAGAGTTCCAGGGTTTCAGCGTTTCAGGCGAGACGTTGCGAGAATCGAAATCTAGTTCCACAAATACAAGGCCGCAGAAACCACAGCATGCCCACCCTCACTGCTTCTGCGGATCTTCACGCAAAAGACACAGTCCTGGTTCGAGATCAAACAATCCCGGATGTGTTCATACCAAGCCTTTGCTCCAATTCTCTGCCCTGGCAGGTTCGTGAAAACCTTGTAGCAACTGAGGCTTGTTGAGATCTGTAGCGGTCTTTCTTGAGCTACTTGTAGGAAAGCGTCTTTGATGTCCAAGGCGCCAATCACCGGTTCTCCAGCCTCCTCATCGCTGCCGTGGTCCCTGCTTCTCATATCCGACAGAAGTGCTGGGAGGAGTCTCAAGCTGTAGCTGCCTGACGCTGGAGAGTAGACGTCGTCCCGTCGTTCCACAGCATATTCCCTTGCCACCAAGCGGGATCTCCTCATCCATTGCTTCTTCTGCTGACCATCTGGTAGGGTTCTTGTCTTGATCCGCCAGTCTCTGACGAACTTCGTGGTGAGCTTGTTCAGCTAGACGTCCTCAATCTTGAAGTCTTCTATCGCTCCCATCTTCTTCAGCCTTTGCTCCTCAAATCTGGTCAGCCAGTTCCTCAATTTCCATGCTCGGCTGAGGAGGTGTTCTTGTCAATGAGGCTTCACTCCATATTCCATCTTGGTCTTGGCCTGGGCTCAACTCTCCTCTCCACTATCTCCTCATGCGAAGTAGGTGCTGGTCCTGGCGTGCTCGAGGATGATGCTGCTCCTTCTGGCTCTCTTTGCACTTTACTCCTCAAGCCTTTGCTTCTTGAACTCCGGCGCTGCTTTCACTGGTGAAAGAGGCGGCGCTGATTTCTTCAACGCTCTCCCTGCCGGAAGACTCCCTGCTTCCCATCCATGGTAATGGATGGACGACTATGGATGGCACTGAGCTCTTCTCCCCAGACTGACTGACAGGAGCTGGGGGCGTTTGCAATCCTCCTCCCGGCTCTTCTTCGATCTGTGCTGCTGCTCTCCCTTTCCGGCACTCTTGTAGACTTTTTTCTGATGCGAGGCTTCTTGACCTCTCTTGACCTTTCTGACCCTTTTTCTTGGCTTAGCCTTCTTTCTGATCGCCTTTTCCTTTGCCCTTCTGTCCCTGGTCCTTGCCCTTGCCTTTGCCCTTTGGGGCCTTTGCCCTTCACTTGGAGCCTGTCAATCTCCATGGGCACTGCGCCATCTTTTCTCTCTTGCCCAAGCATCATTGCACTGCTCCATCTCACGGAGTTGGGCGTAACTGGAGCAATGTCTTCAGCTGTCCAGACACGCACTTCATCAGGATGGCAAACTTTATACTGTCCTCAGTTCATACTCAGCAAAACCTTCCTCCACCTTGAGCAACTGGTTGACCAAAAAACCGCCCTTCCTCATGTCGAAAGGGCTCCATTCCAACAACATCGTCACCAGCCCCAAGCTCTGGTTCTTGCTGGCTGGTTCCAGGCTTTGGATGAGCTGTCGGTAAGCTTCGAACCCGTTAGCATTCTTGACCTGCTTGATCATCGCCAGTGGCCTTTGCCTCACAAGTGAAAGCCAGCAAGGCAAAAAAAGCTTCCCCGCTGCTTCACCTCGTCGGTCTGTATGCTCTGGTCGACCTCTCTGTTGGGGCGTTGGCGAAGTTCAGTGAAGTCACCTGGAAACTCTCGGTCTAGCGAGGCGAGATATTGCTCAACTCCTTTTGGGGTCGAAGCCGGATGGCTTTGGACCTTGAACCAGAATTTGTCGTCTCCACCTGATCTCCTCTCCAGGGCCGTTGCAGCACCCTGCGCAGCCATGCTTGCCGCTTCAGTAGCCATCATCATGCGCCGGGCAATCTCTGCACCATCAATGGCTGTCGCCGTAGGTGTAGGGGGTTGTCCTCCAAGTCCGGCCCTGCCGCCTCAAGTCACAAAATCGTAGAGCTCCTTCACCAAGTAGTCCTGATCTCTCCCTCCAAGAACCCTCTGGCGCTGATTGCGAGAACTGCTATGGCTTCAGCTGCAGCACGAGGTCGCCCACCAATGGCGCCCTTTGGGGATAAGGTCCTGTCCCCAGATCCGCGAGCCTCACCCCTGAGGAAAGGGGATCACTGGCTCCGCTACCATGTCTGCGTTTTTACACTTCTCGTTTGTGCTGTGTCGTTTGACACCCACACCATGACTTTACATGTTGAGTGCTACTACTGTTTCATCTTCGCAGCCTCTCAATACGTGTCAGAGTCATCTTTGTTAATGTCAAGAAAGAAAGCGACGTTTGAGTCAAAACTTCCGGCCCGAACTATGAGTAAAGGTGCTAGAATACAACCAACAATGAAGGCTTTCAGTCACAAGCAACGGAAAACACCAGAACAACTGTCTGTCCAATGCATGTTCAAACCCATGCTTGCCCTTGCGAAGCTGGTGTACAGGGTTGGCCATCCGAGAATCACTTGCAACCAGGTCACTTTTCTATGATTTCCAAGCGCTCCGCATTGATCTTGCGATGAACGTCCAGAGCCTGACAGGTATCCAGAGCTCTGAACCAAATCCACATCTCTTCAAAAACAAATGTGAGACAGGTCTGCCACTTTCCTTTTCGCACTGAAAATATCTGTGTTCCCATTCGCCCAGGGGCACGCTGGAACTTCTCAGGCAAGCGTTCCTGAGATTCACTTATTAGGGCAAAGGCAAGTTCGAATGCAAGGCGAAAGTGGTCTATTGGTTATGTTACGTTCACACGATTAACAAGATCTTGTCTTCAAGCTCTGCAGACTTTGTGTTGAGACCAAGCTGCCGCGGGCAGCTTCCAAGCTTTAAAAGGGTCCTGCAAGAAGCAGTGGATTGCCTCACGGGGCCAAAACATGTCGAATGAAGCATCGAAAAACCGTTTTTTTCATAGCATTGAACCATCAAACCGTACAATACCCACAGGAAACGTAAGTTCGATCATCGTCTACATTTTGCATCGGGGCACATAGTCGTTGGGGTGCATCTTGGCGAGGGGCTTTGGACGGATTGGGCGAGAGCACATCGCAAGGGGTCAGTTTCATTCAGTTTCTGTCTTCCCTTTGTGCCTGAGACATTTAGGCCACGACCTGAAGTGTCAACCGTAGGGTACAAGCATCTCGAGCATCCCTGCCCAGGAAGACTTGAGCATCCAAAGTCGAAGCTCAAATTTTTGGGAAGAGAAGTCCGACAGTGTCAGCGACCACATTCGAAGTTGTGCTTGCTACTCGAAGGAACGGAGGACAAGTGCTAACTCGATTTCAAACTAAACTAAACATCTCTGCAGACCTTGGCATGCCACGATAAAAGGGCATGAGCATTGCTCCATTGTCATCTGTGAGGGCATGATGGAACCTCAACTCAAGTGTCAATAGATCTAGGAGAAATGGAAACAAGGCAGAGTGAAGTTTAAAGTATAGAAACTTCCGAGCTTCCAACACTCCTCTGAAACGAACCAACGGCAGCTTTGCTGGCCAAAGGTCAGGATCGAAGCGAATGCTGACCTAGGCGAGTTGCACCGTTTCGCAAAGGCACACCCAAGACGACGATAGACAGCGGCCATGGCAGGAGGCAATCAAGGTCAACTTACGATTCAACGGCAACAGCATTCAACAAGCCCGTTGACTCAGTATCATCGCCTCCAATACCAGCAATCGAGATTGAACAATCACACTTGGTCCAGCAAGGTTGCAGTTGCCTCGACATTTGGACTACTCAACCTTAAGATACCTTAATACCTTAAGTATATGTTTATCTATTTATTGAACCTCTTATGATGTTGATTGAATCTATTCAGAAGGATTGGTATTTGCTTACTGTTACGTTCGGGCACTCATCGGGGTTTCATTTCGACATCAATTGCTAGTATCTACCCTTTCAATGCATCAATGACAACATTGAGCTCTCCGAGGTTGAATGCTACAGATATTATATTGATGGAGGAGAGGTTCCTTGGTTGCTGGTTTCGATCCTACATCGCATTGACATAGACCTTGTAGCGTGTTTCCATTTTAAAAAAAGTAACTGAACATGAATTCTGACAATTGCTTACACCATCTGCGAGCCATGAAAGCGATAGTCCAAAGCGCAAAAGTAGCTAGGCTAAACCCTGTAGAAAATGCACTTCAGTCGTGGCACCCTGCAGGGTCCGCCATAGGCCTCATCACCCTCTGCGCCCGAAATACAAAGCTGGAGGTCCTGATCAGTCAGCGATCCGTGACTTCTCGGTGCTTTCTCTGAAAGAAACCACTGCCTACCACAGTAAGTTCAGCAAAATGTTTGTGTGGGCTGTGTGGGCAAAAAAAACTGTAATGATTTGTCCTTGCAGTTCCTAGCTCGAACCAAGTGATTAATAATTGTGATGATTCTTTCAAGCTAGCTAGCTAGCAGATCAAGACGCTTGCTCTCCACCCTCACTTTCACCTAAACTCAGGCCCAAACCCATGGGCCATTCCTGCATCACTCAACAACAACCCAGAACTTCAAAGGTCTTCCCACTAATGCAAAGAAATGAGTGAAGAAAGTCTTTACCATTTGGGAGATCCCACCACACCACTACTCCTACGCTCAATCCGGCCTCTCTGGATCTGTGGGCACCTTGAGTTGGCCCTGCTCATCGCAAATCAAGGGCGGAGTCCTTTGCAAAGTTCAGTGACAAGTCACCGTCACCTATGTATTTATATATATATATATAAGTCCGATTTCAGCTAATCAAGGGCCTTCATCTACAGTTTGACGAAGCAAACCTCATGTTGATTCACCAGCCATATGCTTTTCTGCCAGGCTTCTTGAGATCACCAACATCGCTCACCTATAAGGTTGCAGAAGCTTTGGACATGATCAATTTGTTGAAAACAACACGAAACCGAATTCAGCTGTGCTGTGCAGTTCATCAAGTCTGTGTGCCACGATAAACTCCAATAGTTTGCAAACATAACCAAATGCTATTCGAGTCACATAAACGGGAGGGTCAGCCCGAAGATCTCTGATCTCCTGCTGCAGCTCCTGTGTGCAGCTAGGCGCGGTGTCTTTTAGTCCTTTCATTTCTCACCAACAAAAATATGTGATTTTATCATTACAAGACTAAAGCTTGTAAGTAGCGACCACATTCCCTTCTTAAAGTCTCTACAAATGCTCTATATAACCAGTTGTGTCTTTCAGGATCACCACCACCACAACAACAACAACAACCTCTCAAAAATCAAAGAGTTCCTCCAAGCTGAATGGCACTTCTGCCCGTCGGCATCTTTTGGCCGCAGGTTCATCATCCATGGCATCGAAGCTTACTTTAACACGCTTTATTTGTGTATATATATATAGTTCTTTCTGCATCTGACCCAACCACAATTGTTCCCTCTTGCAAAATGTTTGGGTATAGTGTGTGGTTCCTCTCTGTGGGTGTGTGTGTGTGTCATGTAGAGCAAATGAACCTGACTAGACTTTACTCTGTGTGCATGCAATTTTTTTTCATCAAAGCATCAACGTGTTGCTTAAGCATCAAAGTTTTTGACTGAAGTGGAACGATTCCAACCCAGAAGTCAGAATCCGGCACTTTCGGGGTGACTCTTGCCGCAGCCTGGACCAGGATACCCACCAGCATGTTGAGCTTAGTAGATGAAATCAGAACCCTGCAGCAAAATAATGCCTGGCTGCAACTCTTGAGTTCGCTGCATGTTTTGTGTGATTTTGAACTTCCCAATTCATTTCAACAATCGTTTGTTTTGCAACGGTTCACCCGCCTTACGGTGGATTGTAGTTCGCTCCTGCACACTGCGGCATTGCAAGCCATCAGCACACCCCAGCAATCTTACAATTGTTGGAAAACACACGTGCCCTACACTTAATAGACCACCTTCTTTGACCGAAATCAAAAATGTCTGCAAAACAAATACGAACGTCAAGCAATTGATCTGCTCAAAGCTTGCAAACTCTTGGGGCTGAAAGCCAAAGACCAAAAAATGACAATAATACATGCAAACGGTTAGGTGAAACACAGGGAGACAAGACCTACAGCTCGCCCGGCTGTCAGATGAAGAAGAATACAACTCAAGCAAAGGTCTTCCGTTCAAAATGGGGAAAGTCCGCAGACTTGACTTGTCTTCTCGTTTCTTGTTCCTTGAAGGCCATTTGCCAATGATGTTTTTCCCCGTCGCTGCGCATTCGTCGCAAAAGAAACTAGAGGTACAAGAAGGTGAAATAGACTTGCAGAGGTGAAGTCAACAAATGAATTTAGCTGCCTCTCCGTTGATGTGTGAGTCAAGTGAGCAGTCAACAATTGTGCCCAGCATAAAAACGTCATGCGTGGCTCCTTAAAGGAACAGCAAAGGTGACAGAAGAGGGACACTCAACGAAGTCAGATGGTGCAATTTTTTTTTGCACGAGTGGAGCCGCCGTACGTGCAGGAGGTGCACAGGTCAGTTTTTGCTAGGTTTTAATGAATCTCCTGTAAAGGAAACAAACACGGCAACAAAACACAGCCAAAAAAAAACAACCCAACACCAACCAAAACCCCACGAAACAAACCGAAAGGAGATTCAACTTTGCACATGCAAAGGTGAGACGTCGGTGAGACAGTGACACTACCTTCTCGTTATTGGGCAATGAATTCTGGCAAAAGCTTCGAAAGGCGAATCATGATAGCTTGCAGTCCCGAAGGAGAGAGGCAGGAGGCCTGTGGTGGCAGGCCTGTGCTGTGAGCACTTATTTAAAGAAGTGCTCGTGCTATCAGTCATAGTTCATGGGTAGCTGTGTAGCAGTTGTAGGCTACCGTGTGGGTCCACTGCTAACCTAATGCACGAATACCAAAAATGAAGCACGAATGTTCTGGCCGCGGAAAACAGCGAAGCACTAAACTCTAACGTGACAAGCGAAAGAGAATGAAGCATCCACTGTGGCCTGCATTCTGTGCACGTGACAAGGATCAACGGTAGTGGCGAGTCTCTGTTCGACAACGTGGTGCTGCCAACACACTCCCTCCAGAGGGAGGGAGGTGCTGCAGCACGGTTGAGGCGTACTCCATAACAACTAAGCCTACAGGAGTGCACTTCGCCAAGTGCCCACTTCATCCTATTAGTGGTGCAAACTCTCAATCAACGAAGTCAAATGGTGCAAGAGGAGTCCACAAAGCAATGTTCCTTCTGCAATGATCCAAACATAAGTTTTGCACTGCCGCAAGTGAAGCGACTGAACCAAGCGCAAAAACATCAGACACGTCTCAAAGCATTGCTGAAACAAGGTGTGGCCGTCTTGTGGTTTCCAACGCATTTCCAACGGCATGGAAAAGCTTGCGAGCAGCGGATTCACTTGGATTTCCAAAGTCTGCCAGAGCCCCTTGTTTGGTCCTCTCTTGCATCGATCCTCAATCCTCACTTCACAAGCTTTCCTCCAAAGAATAGTTTTTGCACGTGTGGGGCTGCCAGCAATCGCAAAAGAATGCGAAGGTCGCAATTTTGAGAGAAGACTTTCTGGAGCCAATCACCAAAATAGAACAGAAAACAAAGCAATCAAACACCGAAAACACAAGAACACGAACGAAAGAGAACACAACAAACTGAGTGCCACAACACGTGAACACTGATTGCTGGAACTGCACCAACGATCCACGCACATGAAAAATGGTGTTCGGTCTGGTGAAGTCGCTTGGGGGTTGGCAGCCTGGTGCCTTGCAGCGCAGACGGCTCATTGCTATCGCTGCCCACATCCCTCCCACTGCTCCCCTTATTCCTTCTTCTTTACCCAGAAAGTCGAGCCGACTGCAGGCTGTGGTCAGGCAAGCCAACGGGAGAAATCTCTGTCATCAAGGACATTGAGCCTCTTGCAAGCCAGCTTGCAACGCCAGAATTTCACTTCTTTTTTGCACGGGTGGAGACGCCATGTGCGCAGAGATTGCACAGGTCATCTTGCGCTACTTGTAAGTGAGTCTTGGGCCAGGACAAGAAAACCAGGCAAACAAACAGGCAAACTAGACGACGAGTGGCTCGAAAGCATTTTTCATCACGTAAGAAGTCAGAGTGTGAGTTATCTGTTAAGCGTTCAGTGTGAAGTGTTAAGTCGAGTGAGTTGAGGCAGTGTGTGGGTCTGTGTGTGTGTATTTATGTCTGTGTGTGTGTGAGTCTCTGTCTGTGTTGTGTGTCCGAGTAAGTTGAGGCAGTGCGTGGGTCTCTGTGTGTGTCAACCTCTCAAGAGAGCCGGGTGGTTGGGAGACATGACTCAGCTGCAGGGGCGCCAGAGCAGCCGCGAGAGATGCCTCAGCCGCGAGAGATCACTCATCCGCGTACTAAAGTTGTACTACAAAGTCGCCAGTTCTCAGCTTCCAGCTCCACAGATTGCTCCGCATACTAAAGTTGTACTACAAAGTCGCCAGTTCTCATCTTCCAGCTCCCCAGATACTCCGCGTACCAAAGTTGTACTACAAAGTCGCCAGTTCTCATCTTCCAGCTCTCCAGAGACTCCGCGTACTAAAGTTGTACTACAAAGTCGCCAGTTCTCAGCTTCCAGCTCCACAGGTTGCTCCGCGTACTACAGTTGTACTGCAAAGTCGCCAGTTCTGATCTTCCAGCTCCCCAGATACTCCGCGTACTAAAGTCGTACTACAACTTCGCCAGTTCTCATCTTCCAGCGCCCCAGAAACTCCGCGTACTAAAGTTGTACTACAAAGTCGCCAGTTCTCAGCTTCCAGCTCCACAGATTGCTCCGCGTACTAACGTTGCACTAGAAAGTCGCCAGCTCTCATCTTCTAGCTCCCCAGAGACTCCGCGTGCTCAAGTTGCACTACAAAGTCGCCAATTCTCAGCTTCCAGCTCCACAGATTGCTCCGCGTGCTAAAGTTGTACTACAAAGTCGCCAGTTGAAACATTAGACCTATCCTAGCATGGTTCTTGTGCCATCTTTGTACAAGATTGGCCATGGTCTGGCAGCCACAGAGAGTAACTAAGGTTATCCCTGGGCACCTTCCATCACCATTCGCTACCACCCGCCAACCAGGGACAAGGAGCTAAGGCTCTCATCCCGGTAGGCTCACAAGATCGTAGGTGATGAAGGCGAAATAGTGACTCTGTTTGGACTTTGAGTCGGCTGGCAAACACTCACGGAGTGGAGGAGGGGAATCTCACCAGCACTTTGTAACTAGGCTTCTAAGTCCTAGGGTATTGCTTCTCGAAAGTCTTCTCTCCACTGATCTTTGGCATTTGGCGGCAAGAATCGAAACCACGTGGGCTTGTCTAATTGCTCACATTTGTCAAAGGCATTGGTCCGGGCATACGTTCCTCGCCAAGTCTTGCTTTTCCCCATTTTACGGAATGCTCGAAGTTGCGTGCAACCTGCAAAAGCACGCCGGGCAATGTAAAGTAGGGATGGCGGAATGCAAACCTCCTGTAGCGAAGTGCACCGGAGGAAAGCTTCTTGCTCTATGATTCGTAAGTTTCGGGAAAGGCTGAGTTGTTGCAATTGCGAGCAGTGTGCAAAGGTCGAGCCCAATATCTCGATGATGTCAGTCCGGGATAAATCAACGGTTTGCAGCTGCTGGCAACGCGCACAGGCGGCCGGTCCCACCCAGTTAAAATCTGGCGGCAGGGAAAGGGAGACAAGTCCTGCTTCCAAAAAACAACATTCAGGCAAGCATCTGTTCGGGTTGTCCATGTTGAGATACCGCAGGGCCGTACACCGCTGTGCAGGCAGTGTTGACTTCTGCCTCCTCCCTACCAACTGGCCGAATAAAATATCTCTGGTGATCCGGTTTGAGCTCAAAGGCAGTGAGTAGCTTGGCGATGGCTCTACCTGCAGGATTCTCTTTATGCACTACTGCAATTTTGAGATGGGTGGTAAGGGCCAGCCAGGCGAGCAAGAAGGTGAGAGATCTCGTTTTGCCTGCCCCAAAGACTCCTGCCACAGCTAGGGTGGATCTGCCGGATCGGAGAGCTAGCGCTAGGCTGGAGGCCAGCGAGACAATGTGTCCATTGTCACGCCGAGCCGCAGTACCCAGTGTCTTGGCAAAGTCGGCTGCCTGAGGACAATATGTAAGCGTACCGCCCGTGGTCAGCAGTTGGAACAAAGCATGCAAACTCTGTAACACAACTATTGTACATTCAAGATGGTACGGAATGGGCACGTGGCCAGGGATGCCCAACACAGTGGGCTTATGCTCAGCTGCTAAGGTGGCCATCTGCAACAGGTGGTCAGCAGTGACCGTGTCCCCTGCCTCAGCGATTGCCAAGACTCGAAACTTCATTGGCCTGGGCTCTAAGATGTGTAGACTAGGTGGGAAGGCCCATTTGACTGGACACGCCAGTCCGGTCTCGGC